CCTCCTGTAAAAAATCATCAATAAAAATCAAAAAATAACAAGTTCTACCCATCAACATCACATCAATCAAACCACATACATTTGAATAAATAGAATGCAATATGTCATCTATTTCATGCTTCACCACCTTAAATGTCATCATGTACTATTTCTCCTTGACATAATACTTACACAACAAGTAACAATCTACGTACATATAATTTATGAATACCTCTCTCACTCATATGACCTAATCTCGTGTTATAATTGAGTGTCATCAGTCATAGTATAATCAGATGTCATCACATGAACTTAACCTACAATAGTGCTACCATCAAGTTTGTAAATATTTATTCATAGACGACTCCCTTTCATCATGATGAGCACTCATTTACTAACCTTGAGGATCCTATTCTCAAATTTAAAGTAACAACCATTTGACTCTAGAACACCAAGTGAGATCAAATTCTAGCTCAATGCTAATACATTTTAAGCTCTTAAACCAGTCCACTAAAGATTCATTCACCAAACCAATGCCCACCACCACCTTCCAAGGAGTATTGTTCCCTATGGAAACAACTCCAATCGTGTTCTTGTAAGAATCAAATTAGTCAACATATAGGCACATATGATGAGAGCAATCAAAGTCAAGAATCTATGTTTTTATCAACTCCTCAATTACAAATAAGGCATAATGAACTTTTTCACCATCACTATCCTAAGTTTTTATGGCATTAACCAAACTAGATTCAACTCATATTGTCTTACCATTCTGGTTCTTTGAACAATCTTTTTGTAATACTCTTTCTCACATCACTTATGATATTTTTGGTTTTTAATCAACTTGTCTGTGATTTAGATCTAGTCTTCCTCTCTCCCATCTCACCTTTTTCCTTCAGTCTATCTCTTTCTTGTCCTCCCTTCACAAATAAACTTTCACTAGGAACATCATAAGTTGTAGATCACTTCTGATCAAACTCCATCAAGGTACTAATCATCCCAGTGAGCCTTGCTATTTGAAACCCATGTAACAAATTATTCACAATGTTCTCATACATTGGGGGCAAAGAAATCAACAAGATATCATTTTACTCTCTTCCTATAAGACATCCCAAAATATGTATAACTCAACATAAAAGTGATGAAAATAATCAATAGAGGCAAATAATATGGTACCTAATGTCATTTGCAGCCCAAATAACTTTCAAAAAAGTATTGTTCATCACTATCTTTCCCACATACCATTTTACCAACTTCTTTCTTATATTAGTAGGATCTTACATTCTGAAGGCGTGATACATTGCACCATCCAACAAGCATTGGTGAATAATACCACCAGCCTTCATTTTTATCTTTTTTTAATCATCAGCTTTGATGTTGTCATGTTGACTACTTTCTAATGCTCCATACACATCCTTCTTGATGAATAGATTATTCACCTTCTGCTGTCATAAGTTGTAGTTGTTTGAATCAATAAATTTTTCAATATTAAAATGAGATACAAATAGAAGACAACATTCTATGAGTCATAATAAGTACAAACGCACAGAACATAACTTTGATACCACTTGTACATGAGGTACGCATGTGAGAAAGTAAATATGGACTTATATATATGCAAGAGATATCAAAGGAACACAAATACAAGAAGAGAACACTCAAGAGATTATGCAGATCACCTATATCCGACCACAATGTCGTTGTTCACAAGAGAACCATCAAGACAGCCTCTTTAGTCTCAAGAGATTCAACAATAGGCCAAGAGATAGAAATGAGAAGAGGAAAGACAAATAGAAGAATAATACTTTGCCACTAATTTAATGGGATAGGAATACATCAAAACTTCATTTATTGGGCTCTAAAAAAGTAGGACCCATCCACACATGATGCAAGTGAGTTCTCTAATAGCCTACATCACTCCTATTACAGTAAATAGTTAGGGAAACCAACCGGGCCACCCTTTTCCCTTGTGGGTCAGTGGAGTGGGTGACACCAGCCAGCAAGTGACCACATCTTTCATAATTCCTTTATTTCCACCAAGTCACACAATGCTCATCTTCCACCAAGTCAAGAAACCTCCGTGTGTGATTTTTTAATGCATCATGAAAGTGTGGTTGTACTTTTATGCTTTGTGAAAAGTTTTGTACAACTTCCGTGTTGTACAGATGTTGTATCATTACAAAATCAGGTCATATGCCTGTTTATTTCACTATCACAATTAATAAATAACCTCAATAGACAATCATATGATGTTTATTCCTGAAAACACATCACATGTGTCTGACATTTTAATTTAAGATAAAAGCATTCTTGGCAGCTTAATCACAGTACTATGAATCTAATTTCAACTGCTAAATTAATTTCAACTTTTATATAGGGGCAGCCTTTATGTTGACCACATATGAGTAGATTTACCTGAGAATCATACTTGTATTTTTCATAGTTAGGGCTTCATTCAGGTTCATGAAATAGCATCATTCATGCAAACAGTTTCTATAACTTATTCAAGCTTAGACCAATCATTATGAATTTGTTTGTTCTTTTCAGTTTCCGATTTTTTTTCATGTTTATTACATACTCTCTTTCGATTCTCTTTACAGTCTATTTTAGTTTTCTAGATTTTATTTTATTTTATCAACATCTGTTTCCAAGCCTTTATAAAATCCCTATAATATAACCCCTACTCATTCAGTTCGACATTTTTGGGTTTATCTCACATGGTTGAGATACCCCTTGTGGATTAAATAACCCTTATGGATTCAAAGGTTCTATTTTAAATCTTCCAGATTCAGGATTGCTCCCCAATATGGATTCAAGGGCTTAAGGTTTCTATGAATTAAGGGATTGGTTTCTTCTCCAACATTGGAGTTTATGCATTAAAACCAGACTTTGGTCATCTTCCGTGGCAATGCTGCATGCCTGTACCCTTCCTAAAACATTGGTGATGACTGGTATCCCACACCATCACAATACTTATATCAATCTCACCTTACTCTGCAGCACCTATTCTCCGTCCACCCGATCTTCCCCCGCCCACAACACAGATGGCTTTGTCAGCCATGAGATCCTTAGCCAGTGGGAGTTCCTGATTTGTAGTACACCTGATTTGGCATTTCGTTACATGAGTGAAACCTAGGGACAACCTGGGGAACCAGGCAGGAAACTGGCTTGGTGCCCTCGAGCCAAATCCTTCTTCCTAGCCTAGGCCGCGGACCCAGGCTCTGCTGATTAAGACGTTACACGACAAGTTCAAACGCTGTGAGTTTTCCCGAGTCTCTTGCTAGGCTTCACGTATGCTACGGGAACGCGTGTCCTCCACATCCTTATCCTCCGTCGCGTCGATGACCAGTCAGTTGTGCCCCCGGCTCCCACCGGTTCCATTTGTTTCCGTTAGCAGGGAAACTCAGCACATAGAGATTTTACTTAACTAGTCTCAAGCTCGGCGGAGGACTCCGGCGAAAGCGGCGGCACATGCACGCGGAGTTTCACCTCCGCGTATGATCCTCGATTTGTTCGGTGTTCGGTATAGGCATAGCAACGACTTCGCCGAAACTAAATATCACCTGGACTTGACCAAGCAAACGGTTTCAACACCGCGCCGTAGTTCTGGATATGATATTTTAAGGAATTTCTATTTTGGGCTTCAAGTTTACATTCCTATTCGGGATAAGGAAGAAAAATATACTATGACAGAACGATGGAAGTCTGTTCGATGAGGAAGAGTCATTGACTGGGCAGAAGATCTCTGGCCGTGTTACCGCGTGCCAACAAGGCAGAAACGGGGGCTTCTTTAAATTGCTTACGCTATATCGCTTCGTTCGTCCAAATTGTTCTCCCTTTCTCATTTTTCACTCGCTACGTCTGCAGGAATACCAAGATACGGATATGCACATTTCTCAACACCTCTCTGAATAATGAGAGTTAATAACGGAGCTTTTTTAACAAAGTCGCTTAGAAGAATGTCTGTATTCCAACGCAGTCGGCGAGGTCATGACCAAGGGTATGAGTTGACGACCGGAAAAAGAAGGTCGCGTTGTAAGCGTAGCCATGATGTGTAAAGGCTCTGCTTTGCCGGTTGATGGGTCGGGCAGCTGTCTATAGCAAAAAAAAAGAAAAAAAAAAGAAAATGATGTCCGTCTCTGTCATGTAAATCATGGTGAACGTGAGTCGTCGCCATTCTGTCATATAGAACGTTGACATTAATGTGAGTCTGGGTAAGCCGCGCCGCGGACGACTCTGTATCCCAGATAAAGCAAAAGTCAACCTAACAAGGAATACAGGAGAGACGGACTGGGGAGAAGATTTTTTCCGGCAATTCTGCATGTCATATAAAAATGGGGTGACAGTAAAATTTATATTAATTTTAGCAAGGAGAACAAATGACTCTGGCTACGTGATAAATAGTGTAAATGATGTTATACGACATCAAGTTTCTTGCAACCGAATGCTGACTGTCATTTAAAGTAACTAAACTGTGAAACTCTCCTAATAATTTAATTTTAGCTGATACTTTACTGAAGTATTGAGATAATTCATTTCGGATTTATACAGCGGGTGCCAGTCAGAAATCGCAGAAGACATTTTTCACGCGGTACGGGGAACCCCGCTGACAATATTTCTCAATATTGTATGAATATTTTATGAGTGCTATATTTTTGTAAACGACGGGTCCAAGACTGCCGACTGCGGCACCTCTCCCGCAAAGACCAGTTTTTCAGTTTAAGAATCGAGTCTCCAATACCAGGTTGATTTAAACATTCCCGAACGAGAAGTTAGCGCGGAGGCTATCCGTCGGCGGATGAACCATTTAATATTATTATTAGTTTTGCCTAGGCTACGTGTACAGTAGTAACACATCAATCGGTCAAAGACTCTGTGCGCCTCCTCCTGTTGTACACGGTCCCGACCCTTGGCCGGTACGTTGACTCTCTCCCATTATATACAGAATGGCCCCTCCATCTCCTCCTCACAAGATCATCTGCCTTTCTCTACACACGTGAAAAGAGAGGAAAAGAGTAACCATGACAACTCACTCTCAAAATGCTCTTCTCCTTCCCCTGCTAGTGGCCATTCTTCTAATCCTCCCACACGGGGGCACAGCGGCCTCACGCAAGCTGGGATCCCAGGGCAACTACGAGCCTATCGATGAACCCCAGGATGCCCAGATCCAGGATCTCGCCGAGTTCGCCGTGAGGCGGCACAATAGAGATTCTGGTGACAGGCTGGTCTTGACCCGCGTCCTCGGTGGGCAGCAAGAGGTGGTGTGGAAGGGGGTGAACTACCGGCTGGTGATTGGCGCCCAGGGTAAGGGACGTGCGGAAGACCTCTACTTGGCCGTTGTGTGCGAGAAGGATTGGAAAAAGTTCCCTGATCTCGCAGCCTTCAATCTCATCGGCTAGGTTCTTCTTGCTGCTGATAAATGGCTTATTAATTGTGAAGTAATTTGTCAGGTGAATAAGTAAAATCCCTGAGTGATTATTTATGAGTCATACCAAACCTATTAAAGGGCGTAACATCATCTATATTACTGCCGGACTTCATGAGAAAATGCGCATCCAACCTGTGTCGGAACAATAGGACGTGGGATAAACTTTCTAGCATACTGGCGGTAACAGCTCATTATTATTTTAACTCATCAAAGTTTGAAGAATGTGATTTCCGGCCATAATAACCTAAAGTTTGCAACAGAAATTTAATGAACGTTAGAACTTTATAGAAAGACGGTTAGGCATATACCTGATCCACCATTCTCCACAGCTCGTCCATCTTCCTCTCACTCTCTCTCTCTTTCTTTATCTCTATTTTCTCTCTCTCTCTCTCTCTCTCTCTCTCTCTCTCTCTCTCTCTCTCTCTCTCTCTCTCTCTCTCTCTCTCTCTCTCTCTCTCTCTCACTCTCTCTTTCCATTCTTTGCACTATTTTGCCTTCTAAATGACCGCCTAAAATGAAACCCGGGTAACTACTCGTTTGGTCAATAGACTGTCTGTCTCGACGTCCTGAAATCTGGAAATCGCTCAAAGTTTGAACCAGGATGCCTGACGACTTGGCCTGGCTGGACAACGACAAGGCCCAACCGGATATTATATGTAGGAATTCGAAGTCCGATCGGTATTTAATGTTGTTAAAGGGTTAGAGGAAAGGAACCAAATGAGTTTAGTCTGTCTACAAAATCCGCGGATAGCCTAATTTAAAAGTATGTGTGTTGGATTCCTCAGAGTTCTTCACGAGTACCGTCGACTATGGTACCGCAAAAGAAGGGTTTTACAGGAAATGTGAATACTGCATATGTTCCGAAAGACACAAACCCAACTTTACGATTAAACGGAGCCTTAAGTCCTTTGGATCAGCTTAGACTGTATTTTCTAGACGATCGTCCAAAAAGATTCCGGCTGGACCGTTTTCTCTAATTCACAACGGAAAAGGTTGGTATGCATGAGTATTGCCTGTACCCTTCCGAACACAACGATGATCACAGATCTCGCACGAAATCACGACACTTGATATCAGGCTCACCTTCTTCTGAGCTCTTATTTTTTGTCTATCCCATCTTCCCCCCCAGCAACGCGGAAGGCGTCGTCAACAACGAGAACCTTAGCCAGTGAACGTCCCTGATTTTAACGAATTTCTTGTATGGGCTTCAAGTTTACAATCCGGTTCAGAATAAGGAACAAAAATATGCTACGACGGAACAACTAAAGTTTATTCGGTACGGTAAAGTCATTGACTGAGTCAGAAGATCTCTTGCCGTGTTACCGCGTCCCACAAGGCAGAACCGGGGACTTCTTTAAATCGTCTACTGTATATCGCTTCCTCCGTCCGACTGCATTTCTCATTTTTCACTCGGTACTCCGGAGGAAAACCGAGATGCGGATAGACAAATTTTTAAACACAATTCTGAATGAAGAGAGTTAGGAATGGACCTTTCTAACGAACTCGCTTAGAAGAATGCCTATATTCCAACGCAGTTGGTGAGGTCATGACCAAGGGTATTGCTTGACAACAAAGGAAAGAGAAGGCCACATTGTAATTTTAGCCATAACGTCTCAAGGCTCTGTTCTGTCGGTTCTTGGGTCGGGAAGCTGTCTTCAGCAGAAGGAAAGAAGAAAAAATGATGTCCGGACTGGCCATCTAAATGTTGACGAGCGCGAGTCATCGCTATTCTGTCCTGGAGAACGTCGACATTAATATAAGATTGTGTAAGCAGCGCCGTGGATGACTTACTATCCAAGGGAAAAAGGAAAGTGGATTTACCAGTGAACTGCACTCTCAACGGAATATAGTTCAGGGGCTCGAGCAGAAGATTTAGTTTGGCAATTGTACTCCCCATAGAAACAATGTGGTGACAGTAAAATTATATTAATTTGAACAAGGAAAATTAGTTTCTCAATCTAAGGGATAAACAGTTTAAACGATGTTACAACGAACCTAGTTTCTTAAGACCAGATGTTTACCGTGTTGTAAATTACTAAACTATGATACTCACTTATTCCAATTTACCTTTAACTGATGGTAGTTGTTAAAACCATTGATTATTTTTGGATTAATTTCTATTCGAAATAAATTCATCGTATGTGGGAAGCAGATAAAAAGAGTAGTTAGCAAATTTGTCATATAATCAAAAAAGTTATTCTGACGTCAGCTGGCCACTACTTGATAATTGGTACATCCTTTATGCCTATTCTTTATGAATGCTGCTTGAGTAGGTGGGGCATCTTTCAAAGATCCTTGTTCATCACAATCTGAGAGACAGTGCACTGGTAAACACGTTTTCCAAATTTGTGGGGATTTAGTCCATTAGATCAGTGTTTTAATACCTCAAAATAATTTTCCCCTAAGTCTCAATTTCTTCATTGGTAGCAATTGAGGCTTTGAAATAGAGAGAAATTTACTACCTCATACCTCTTAGATGGCTGTTTTTACTACTGTTATGGTGCATCAGAATTGTCACGATTTCTTATTGCCCATGTGATATGTTGTTATTACAAATTGAATCGAGGTTGATGAGGAGAAAAGTATGAGCAATTCAAAAATGCCCAGCACCACAAAATATACTTCAGGTCTATAGTTTCCATCTTTCAGCACCCTTTTATCAAGATTTATTCGATATTTCAGTCCAATTATTTCTCCAATCACAGATTGCAAGAAAAAATAATTCCCAAATAGACTGACAAACTAAGAACAACTTTAACCTGATTAAAAAATATTCTTTTCTTCTCTACTTTTAGCACTTATAAATTTTAAAAAGTTGTTTAAAGTCGAATGTGATGCTTCCATTCTCAGGGTAGGAGCCATTATGCCTAAGTAAGATCATCTAATTGCCTTTTATAATGAGAAATTTTCTGATGCTAGGAAAAAATTAACCTATTATTAGGAATCTTAGGTTTTTGTTTGAGCCTCACACACCTAAGATTATTACCTGATTCTATCTTATATACTGACCAATAGGCACTGAAACAGAATTCATGCTAGATTATGGTTAATAGAACGCATGACATGGGTTTCCTTTATTCGACGTTTTACTTTTGTTACCAAGAATGTCTAGAAAGTTAAATCAAGTGATGCATATTGTCACTGGCCTTAATAATGCCAAAGAGTTGTACCTTGATGATGAAGAGTTTTTCCAAGTTTGGGATTCTTATAGGTCATATTGATCAACTAACAGATTTTATTTATTAGATGATTTTCTTATTTTGAGGAACATAGTTGTGTTCGCAAAAGTTGATTGAGAGAGAAAATTCTATGATAATTACCTGTTAATAGATTGAGAAGACATCTTGGTCATAATAAGACCTTATAGTTGGATGATGAAAGCTATTACTAGCTGCGGCTTAAAAAGGATGTTGAAAATTTTGTGTGAAAATGTCAAGTTTGTCAAGTCAGCAAGAGACAATGTAAAAGCATTGAGCTTTACACCACTCCCACTCCAAAGACAACCATATACTAACATCTCAATTGATTTCATTTTAGGCCTCCCATGGACACAAAGTGGAGAAATTCCTTTTGTTGTGGTCGACAGATTTTCTAAATTGGCATATTTTCTCACATGTAAAAAGATAAATGATGCAATGAAAGTAGAAAATCTTTTTTCTTAAAAATTTGTTAGTTTCATGGTGTATCTACTCGAGTCCCTTACTTCTAATCAAGATCCTAAGTTTTTATCTCATTTTTGCCGAGCCCAAATTCAATAGTACTAATCACCCCCCAGACTAACATTGAAATAGAAAAAGTTGACAAAACATTTGGAAACTTAATTAAGTGCATTTCAGGAGAAAGGCCAAGAGAATAGGACTAAATCGTAGCCAAATCATAATTTTCTTTTTCTCCAAATATGTTTGAGGAAAATTGTTTCAAATTATAAAAGGTAAAAAATAGCGATATATAAGAAAAAGAGAAAAAAAACATATTTGGAGTTGGTGATCTTGTCATAGTTTACTTTCGAAAAAAATGACTCTCAATAGTTACCTACAAAAAAGGAAGCCAAAGAAATAAGGTCCTTTCAGAATTCTACAAATGATCAATGACAATGTCTATCTCATATGAAATTTTTATATGAAACACTTTTAATATCCATTAAAAAAATTAGTACTATAGAGATTTGCAAGCTCGAGGCCAAATTATTTTCAAGGAGAGGAGATTAATGTAACCCGAATCACCCATGATGCAGGACCCAAAAGTCACTTCTCAGAAAGCACAATATTGGGCCTTAAAGAGAAAAACGTGGAAAAGTGGCCGAAACACTAAATGAACCTTTATAAAGCAAGAGAAGACTGGTCTTAGCTATGTTGGGTCATCCAAAGTCTATTTTTCTTTTTCCAGAGTCATCCTGAATTCTGTTTAATCTAGAATCTATTTTTGATTATGTTCAGAATCTGTTTAGTCTTTTAGAACCTATTTAGATTTTCAGGATCTGTTAAGTCCAGGATCTGTTATGATTTTGTTGAGAGTCACTTTTACTTTTTAGACTCTATGAGGGGCCATTCGAGCTCCTCTCTAGGCCTATATAAAGGTGCTCAACTATATCCCTAACTCATTTGATCCAAGTATTTCAGGTTTCTCTCCTGTGAAGTTCCTCTCCATCTCTGTTTGTGGATTCAAGCATCCCCTTGTGGGTTCAAAGGTCTCTTTTGATTTTGGGGGTTTAGGACAATCACTCTTGTTTGCTTCATCAAGTTACGAGTCTCAGGATCAAATCAAATTCTTCCATTTTCTGCAACAGTGCTATATTGATTGACATGATACAATCAGTAAAAATTAAAAAAAGTAACTTAGAAGTTATGCCATGTCAACGTATTGTAGCCTATTGCTTGAATCTGGAGAACAGAAAAAATGGTATAGAGGAGAACAAAAACTTTAGCTTTTACTTGGAGATCCCGTTCTTAAGATCTATTCATCTCTCTCCTA